TTCACAGGGCAGACCCCGCACGCTCTGCCGGGCTCTTGTCGACGCGCGAGCAGGTGTGACCAGTGAGGTGGTGGTGTGTTGTACGGCTTTACACTCATGAAGGCCTCGCATCGGCAGACGGCACACACTCCCTCAAACAACTCGAGTGCCGTCTGCCAACCAGACACTTGCACACGTACCGAGACCCTTCTCCCTGGTCCGCTTTCAACCCCCTCCCCCCCCTCCCCTCCTCTCACTCCTCATCCTGATTACGCATCCCCTCGAATGCAGACCGCGGCGCGAGCGCGTGCTTGCCGCCCACCACCGTGGCGCGGCCGCTCGCCTGCTCAGAGCCGTTCCAGCGGGGGCTCGAGCGCCTCGCCTGGTCGCGGCGGGCCGAGGTTGGCGCGTAGACGCCCGCGTACCCCGTGACGCCCCACCCGACGGGGCACAAGGCGGCCGTCGCAGCCGCGCCACCCGTGCCCGCAGCCGCGCCGCCCGCCCCCGCCGCGCCGCCGCACCCGCCTCGGGACGAGGTCCGATCCACCTCGCGCCTCCCGCCGGGCTCCGAGTGCGGCGGCGTCTGACGGCCGAGCGAGCGCCGCTTCGGCTTGCCCAGCGCCGCCGCAGAGTCGCCACGGCTCGACCGCCCCGAGGAGTCGCCACTCGCCTTAGACGGCGACGGCGGAGGCGGAGCGGGCGGCGGCGGTTGCAGAGGCGGCTCCTCCTCCGCCGTGGCAGCGGCGACCGTCGCCGTGTTGCTGTCGTCCTCCTCCGCAGGGGCAGCGGCAACCACCCGCGGCCTCCGCACCACTGGCGGAATGCCGTCGACGTGCAGGCCGCGCCGCGCCGCGCCGCCAGCGACGTCGAGACGCCTCGCCGTCGTCGTCGCCGTCGCCGTCGTCGCCGTCGTCGCCATCCTCGCCGCCTCTGCCGCCGGCGGCGGCGGCGTTCTCGGCGGCGACGTTGCCATCGTTGAGGGTGGCGGCGGCGGCGGAAGGCCCGGGGGAGGGGGCGGCTGGCTCATGCGGCGGGGTCGCGGCTTGCGTGTGCTGCCTCGCCGCCGGCCGGTTGAGTGTCGCTCTACACGGGGAGAGACGGGGAGATGGGGGAGAGATGGGGAGATACGGCCTGCCGAGCCCCGCTCTCCTCCAGCTGCGGCATCCGACCCGCCCGCGCTGTGCGGCGCACCGCCGCCCTCCGCCTCGCGCCCCCTCTCCTCCTCCGCCCGCCCCCCCGCCGCCGCCGCCGCCTCCTCCTCCTCCAGGTCCTGCACCACGGCCGCCGTCCGGCGAGCGCGCGTCCAGCCGCCCCTCTTCGGGGGCGCGCCTGCGGTGCAGCGACTCGAGGTTGAGCGCCCATGCCTGCGGTGGATGGGCGGCGTCGGCGGCTGCGGCTGCGGTCGCGGCGGGCGGCGTCGGTGGCGGCTGGCGGCGTCGTGGGGGGTGGGGCTTGTTTGTGGCCGTTGCGGCCGCCCCAAGTTGGTGGCCCC